ATTTAGATTTAACAAATCTTAACGTTTTAACATTATTTCAGACCCTTTTTCTTTTCTTTTCTTTTCTTTTTTTTTTGAGACAGAGTGTCACTCAGACACCCAGGCTGCAGTGGCATGATTTCAGCTCATTGTAACCTTGACATCCTGGACTCAAGCAATCCTCCCACCTCAGCCTCCCAAGTAGCTGGGGCTACAGGTGCACACCACCACACCTGGCTAATTTTTGTATTTGTTGTAAAGACGGGGTTTTGCCATGTTGCCCAGGCTGGTCTTGAACTCTGGAGTTCAAGCAGTCCACCTACCTTGGCCTCCAAACTTTTATTTTTAAGAAATTAAATGTTACAGAGAAGTAGTATAACCCCATATCAATCCCTTCACTAACTCTTTTTTTCTCAGAGGTAGCTACTTTTCCAAAATTGTATGAAATCCTACTCATCAGTGTTTTTATGCCTTCATTATATGTGTGAATTCTTAAGCAGTGTGGTGTATTTTTCGTTCTTTAAATGTATATAAACTGTTTCATACTATGCCAAGCCTTTTGAAGCTTGCTTTTTTTGATTCATTATTATTTTCAAGATTTACCCCTATTGACGCATGTAGATTTAGATTATTTAACGTCTATGGAGTATGTTATGAAGTATCAGAATTTATTAGCCTATTTTCCTATTAATGGATATGTGTTTTTTGTTTCATTTACAGACTGTGCTGAAGTCACATTATATGTTTTCTTGTGTATTTCTCTTGTCATAAAATGAGTTCAGTGGGTCATAACCAGTTTTTTTTTTAACTTATGTGATGTGGTTGTAGTAAGAAATAGAATGAGAGGGAATGGATAATAGAGAACATTTTACAGAATAAGGGTCATTGTTGTTCCCTAAACTTTCATTTCAATTGTGTGTGTATGTATATATTACTAAGATACGATATTAAATGAATTTCTTACTGTGAGTCCTTAAAAAAATGTTTGAAAGTTACTCCTAAGGTGTTTACCTGGAATTAGAATTACTGGATTGTAAGTTTTGCTTTATGGGAAAAATACCAAGTTGTTCTTCCCATGGTTTTAACAATGTATGGTCCCATCAGTGATTAATAAAATTTTAGTTTCTACCAAGTTCTACCAAGTTCACTCCAACACTTGGTATTAGTCTATTTCTGTCTGATACTTGGCATTAGTCTAACTTGTAACTTTCCAGTGAGCATCAGATGGTATCCATGATGTTTTCGTTTGTATTTCCTAGATGTCTAGTGTGTTTAAGCAGCCCCCGTGTTTATCAACTACGTAGGTTTCCTACTCTGTGAATTCCATGTTCACATCATTTGCCTATTTTTCTATGTGGTTACTGATTTCTTTTTTGGTTCATGTGTGAGCACACATACATGTAATTGATTGTAAGGTTTCTTTCCATGTTAGAGATACTAATCTTTTGTCAGTTTCATCCATACTTTGAATGTATTCCATGCCTTTTTAACTTTACAGTTTCTTGTGTTTTATAGGTTTTTAAAAATTTTTGTTTGGTAATTGCTTTATAGCTTACTCTCATCTCTTTGCTTTCAAGTTTCTGGCATTCTGTTTTGTATGTCACTCATACATAAAAGCTTATGGCTAAATTTTAGTTTTAATAGTTGAGTTTAAATATATTCTTAAGTTATAGATATATTTAGTTTATGTTTCTAATTTTTTCTGTTTCCCCTTTCGCTGCTTTGGAAGTAGTTCTGTATTTAATTTTGACTTAATATCCTTAATTTTTAATTTTTATACTATACTTACTTTAATAATGTCTAATGCTAATCAATATCATAGTCTTTTTCTTAGGCAATAATATTCTTTCATTAAATTAACATCTTTTGTTAGAAAAGAAACATCTATTTGTTTCATGAGTAGAAGGGGATAGGATGCAATATGGTTACCCTCTTGTTTTCCTCAAAGTGCAAATGAGAACAAATGTGCATGTACCTTTTAAACTTTTATTTTTATTCAAGTATATCTTTTCAAGTTTATTTTCTTAACATCTCATAAATATTATGATGATGCATAATAAAAAATAAATTACTCATATTTAAAATACATTGGTATTCAAGTAAAGCAAAATACCTGTACTGCACAATGCACAACTTTAGTTTATTGTGTAGTCTTAGACTTACATACATTTCAAAAGTTAACTATGGAATTAGGCATCATAAACTACAGAGCTCTGGATATGTGCTTACTGAAAATATTCATTATCTAGAATCTTGCATGTTCTGACTGTTTAGTAATTTGTCTCTATTTGCCATATTTATTAACACTTTGATTTTATTAAGATATTACTTACGGAGGCCGGGCATGGTGGCTCACGCCTGTAATCCCAGTACTTTGGGAGGCCAAGGCAGGCAGATGGCTTGAGCTCAGAAGTTCAAGACCAGCCTAGGCATTGTGGCAAGATATGTCTCTACAAAATTACAAAAATTACAAAAATTACCCAGTCATAGTGGTGTGCAGCTGTGGTTCTAGCTACTTGGAAGACTGAGGTGGGAGACTCACTTGAGCCCAGGAGGCAGAGGTGGCAGTGCCTGGGTGACAGACTGAGACCTTATCTTAAAAAAAAAAAAAAAAATTGCTCATAGAATCAGAGAATTCTTAGAGATGATCATTTTCTTCAACTTTTCATTTTAACAGATAAGGAAATTGAGAGCAAAATTAATTAATGATTTGGACCTGGAACCCAGCACCCTGTTCTCAATTTAGAGTTGTTTATTCTGAATCTTATACTGCCTTTTTTATTGCCTTTATGTAACAAGCTTACTCCTTCATAATACTCTTGTGAAACAAGCAAGCACATTACAATATAGGGGATGCAGTATTCTTCTGTTTAATAATTTATATTTTAAAACTACACGTTTGAGCAGTAAAAAGTTATAACAATTAAACAAGCTAAATTGTTTTTAAATATTTATGGTTCTTTCTTTTATAAATTTCAGATGTAAGCAGTGTTCTAGTTTGAGATCCATACAAAATCTAAATTCGTTGGTCGATAAAACATCGTGGATTCCTTCTTCTGTGGCAGAAGGTTAGCTAAATTTCCATGCCCTGCAATTTTAACTGTTTGTATATAAGGTTATTCCACCTGTTTATATTTCAGTATACCTGAAAGTATACCTATTCCTTCTTTATATACCTATTCCTTCTTCTGTAAGATAAACAGACTTTGTAAAATTAAAGATATCTGCCAAGCCTTTCTTTAGTCTGTATTTATTCAAGCAGGCACCATCACATTTGTTTGTACTTTCCCCTGTGCCTTACTATTTTGTTTTTCCTCCTCAGTAAGCATTCCACTTTACTAGTGCTCTTCTCAGAATTTGCCATTCAGAGCTGGACATTGTGCTGCAGATGTTGTTTGACCAGTTCAGAACAGAGTGAAATTATTTTTTACCTAAAATTGGACACTCTACTTCTACTAGCCTGAAATGTCATTGTATAGCTATTTACTTGTACACTTGGTTTTGTTTTCTTTCCTTTTTAATACAGCTATCTCATGTTTTATTTGTGGTACGTTGAAATCCTGGGTTCTTGTCATATTAACTTCTTGAACTTGGTCTCCTCATTCTATTCTTATTGTAATTTTTTTTTTCCTGTCACATGAGCTTCTTGAACTTGGTCTCTTCATTCTATTCTTAATGTAATATTTTTGTTTTTATGGTTCCTGGGAGTAGTTACTAAGTTCATCTTTCTTAGTTTTAGTTCACAGTTTTAATCTATTGAGACCTTTTGAAGCCTAAAAATCAGTTCCCCTGTAGTAATGTCTTTTGTATGCCCTAGTTCATGTCTGTATGTCCTAATTTATTCTTACTTGCCCTCTTAATTAGTCCTACTATTTAAATATGGGTTCCACAGATAGAAGCTAATAAAACGTTCTATAAATTGAGTATCTTCATTTCCAAACAAGAAGATGTTTATCTTAACCTGTGAATTTTCATGTTACCCAATATCTCTAATTTCTTATTTCTTCCTCATCTTACCAAATTATTAAATCTCAGATTCTGACATTCTTGTCCATTCAACCAGATGATATCCCTTTTTTCTTTTTTAAAATTACAAGTTATTCCCCTAGCTTATAATGGAGAGAGGCATGCTAAAACGGTATTTAACTGCATGCTATTTTTTAGAACATTCTGTATTTTAATTTTATCTTTCATAAAACTAACATGCAATGAGTTACATTTCATGAATCACTTTTTGTGGTTTCTATGGAGGCTATCAACTGTTTTATTTATTTATTTATTTATTTTATTTATTTTGAGACACAGTCTTAGTCTGTTACCCAGGCTGGAATGCAGTGGTACAATCTCTGCTCACTGCAACCTCCGCCTCCCAGGTTCAAGCATTTCTCATGCCTCATCCTGCAGAGGAGCTGGGATTACAGGTGTATGTTACTGTGCCTCGCTATTTTTTTGGTATTTTTAGTAGAGACAGGGTTTCGTCATGTTGACCAGGCTGATCTTGAACTCCTGTCAGGTGATCCATCCACCTCAGCCTCCCAAAGTGCTGGGAGTACAGGTGTGAGGGTGTCAACTCATTTTAAATATACATTAATATTTAATCGAAAAAGATTAAATTGCTTATCATAAGATATTCTCCCTATGTAGGTATAGTGAAATGTTCCAAAATGAATCTGCTAAATGAGCTTAATTATAGGTTGAGTATCTGTGGAGTTAAAAACACAAACTGTTTGTCCTCTGCTCTGACACCACAGCAATCAGCACAGGAGACTTATGTGACCAAAACGCATAGGGGTTTTCACTCACACACCAAGCAGGCAGTCCCTCAGCAGATGCCAGCTGGGTGTCCTCCAATTCAATTCTGACACTGTCTACCTGGAGATAATGCCAAGTTTTTCTTTGTATCTTGAGTTATTTTAGTAAATAAAATTTACAGGTCTATACTATCATAAAACAATTTTAACTTTACCTTGATAATAAGGAATAGCAGACTCATATGCTTTGATCTTTTTTTCCTTCACTAGTACTGGGTATTGTACCCCTCCAATATGTGTTTGTTATGACATTTACACTTGATGATGGAACAGGAGTACTAGAAGCCTATCTCATGGATTCTGTAAGTATCAGAGGTAGTAAAGATATTTTTAATTAAAACATAACATTTAAAAAATTGAATGCGTGTATTCATACCTGCTTTATTCCTAAAAGGACTTAAGGCAACTTAAAAATATAAGTAAAATATGAGCACATAAATTTTGAATCATCTGTGTATGTATCTCTTTTTTTATTTGACACTAAATCTTAACAGTTGAATAGTGGAAAATTAAGGAACAGGGATTTAAAGAGTCATTTCCTATACCACAGCCAAAATGCAGAGATACAGCTACACTATGGAAACATTATTTGTAATCAACATTTTGTCGTACTTCTGTTTGTTTGTTTTTTGAGATGGAGTCTTGCTCTGTCGCCCAGGCTGGAGTGCAGTGGCATGATCGCAGCTCACTGCAACCTCCGCCTCCCGGGTTCAAGGAGTTCTCTGCCTCAGCCTCCCATGGCTGGGACTACAGGTATGCGCCACCATGCCTGGCTAATTTTTGTATTTTTAGTAGAGACAGGATTTCACCCTCTTGGCCAGGCTGGTCTTGAACTCCTGACCTTGCGATCCACCCGCCTTGGCCTCCCAAAGTGCTGGGATTACAGGCGTGAGCCTCCACGCCCGGCCTTGATCATACTTTTTAAACCTCCACATTTCATATTAGAGGAAATGAAGTTACTTTGACAGGGAAGATAGATATTATTGTATAAAGTTTTGAGGCAGTCTACAAAAATCTTCCTCATTTCTGACAATAATTGCAATTGGAAGTCCCCAAGGCCACTCTTAGATTTGATAATTCACAAGACTCCTAGAACTCACTGAAAACTATTATACTGACAGTTACAGATTATTACAGCTAACAGATGTACATTAAAATCAGATAATGAAAGAAATGTACAGGACAGAGTCCAGGAAAGTTCCAGACACGGAGCTTATGGTTGTCCACTCCCCATAGAGTTGTGGACTGTTACTTTACCTGCAACAGTGTGTAGCAATATACATAATACATTGCCAGATAGGGAAGCTCTGCTAAAAGATTTTAGTGGGACTGTCATGTAGGTATGGTTGACTGCCCATATGGCTGATCATAGTCTTCAGCCCCTCTTGAGATCAGCGTGATACCACATGCTCCAAACTTCCCAGTCTACATCATACTATTAAACTCTTCATAGTGACCCAAGGCTACCAGGCAAAAATGCTTCTATCAAGTGTGACATGGAAAGGGCTTAGAGATTACGTTCCACAAGCTAAGGTCAAAGCCCAGACCTCTCTTAGGGTAAAGTTAAGATGTTTACTACATGGATTGGAAAAGAGCTGAGGTATAGTTGAGAGGAGAATTTTTCTCCCACCTACACAGTTCATTTAACCTTTCATTAAATATTTAATGAGCACCTGCTGTGTACTAGGTACTATCCTATGTGATGGAGAGACAGCAGTGAACAAAGTAAGCAAAATTCCTTCCTCCTTGAAACTTATAACCTGATAGAGGAGAGAAAAATTAAATAACTATATAATACATATACTATATGTTATATTCATTTGAGCTTAGCACAAGATGTTTTTTCTATACATAAAGAGAATAGTTAGCCTCTTTGTTTTAAAATCATTATTAACATCATCATTATTAAATCAGAGCAATTTACTTGATTATGTATATCTCAAAGCTATTTTAAGATTAAAGTAGCAAATAAGATTTTGGAGTTGAGACCAGCATTCTAGTTTATGAATTCTACAGTCCTGATAGAGGGAAGCTGTCTAGATTATCTTTTAATTGGACAATATTGAAATACCTGTTAATAATAACATTAAAATGATTATTTCCTTTTTTTTTTTCCTCTCATGAAACATTTTTAAGGACAAATTCTTCCAGATCCCAGCATCAGAAGTTCTAATGGATGATGACCTTCAGAAAAGTATGGATATGATCATGGATATGTTTTGTCCTCCAGGAATAAAAATTGGTAGGCAAGAATATTTTAACAGTCCCACACGTCTTTTACTTGAGATAGCGCTAGCATATATGTACTCTGTGGACTTTTAGAAGTCTGAAAGCTTTGCTTCAAATGAATTACGAAGTAGTGACTGATTACTGTATGATCAACCTTTGATGAAGAGAGTGGCAAGGATAAAATAGTTATGAATCAAAATTCTTGCAGTCAAAAGATTTTAAAAATATTTTAAAATATAGGAAAGGGGGTAGCTTTGATCACAAGCACATTTGACATTGTCATGCTACAAGCATTTTAGTTGAAATTAGACCAAAAGTGATAAATTGTTGGCAGTAAACATTTTCTGTAACAAACTCCAATTATCCAATTTAATTCATGGATGAATTTTTTTATTTAGTGTTAACTAGTTTCACATTTTACAAGCTTTTGTTTTACCAATTTTTTATGAGCTTTGTTTTCTGAATAAACATTTGATTAATAAACTAGATCCTCCTCATTTCAAATTGTACTGCTTATACCTACTGCTACTGAATTTTCCTTCTGTGACCATATTTGTGCTTATGTTGAAACTTGCAGATCTAAGTTATATTAAGACAATTTGATTTTTCTCACAATTTTTTATTGTGGGAAATTTTACCAGCTGCAGATTTAGCAGCTGGTTTAATTTTTATATATTATTTTAAATCAGGCTTTACTCTTCCTGGTCAATCTTTGCATCTTATAATAGTTACATAATGATAGAAATTTGTGTTGATCTGTAACAAAGTTTAACTTGAATACCTTTATTTGTTGTCAGTTTTAATTTGTGTTAGCTGTTTGGATTCTTTTGGATAGATTTCTAGAAGTAAATCTTTATATCCAAAAGCATGGGCCTGGTAGACCCATTTTAACCACTATTTTAGATTTTTAAAATATATACTAACCATTTTGAAACCCAAGGTGTAATCACTGTTACCTGTTTGTGACAAAAAATTCAGATTAGTCACAATTGCTCCAAAACAATAACATGAATCTAGTATGTATTTTGGAGAGAGAATAATGTTAAATTTGGAAGGGACGTTTACTTACTTGTCAAGCCAAAATAAATGTTAATTTTTCTAGCTCAGTGGTAAGCTTAGGTACCTATTTCAGAGTTATTTATTTTGTTTTAATGGTTAAATACCTTTTTTTGTTTTTGTTTTTGTAGATGCATATCCGTGGTTGGAATGCTTCATCAAGTCATACAATGTCACAAATGGAACGGACAATCAAATTTGCTATCAGATTTTTGACACCACAGTTGCAGAAGATGTAATCTAATATTGCCATCCAATTTAGCATACATAAAATGTTGCCACTCACCATCCCGGTTTGAGCTTCTTTTCCTGCCCTGAGTTTTGTATCAGCAATGTTGATGATTTTAGCATGGGTATGGAATTAGAAAATGTCCTTTCTTTAAATCTCTTGGCTTTTACTGGGTGCAAGGTAAATAATGGCTATAGATTTTATTTTGCTTTCTGTTTTGCTTTTGCACAAACAGACCTGCTTTAATAAGTACTGCTGAGATAAGTGTTTGTCTGATCAAGCTACAGTGTACTTTAAGTAGAAATGGCAAAGTTGCTTTGTTAGGGTGCCGATACTGATGATTTTATGATAAATTCAGTTCTTTAAACATGTAATACATGATTTGATTGCTTGTTTCTCTCCAGGATGGTAGATATTTCTCTATTTCACCTCAACCTAATAAAGTGGTCAGATTTATAATGTTAGTGACTTAATATGATCCTTTTCTAATAGTCTCCTGTAAAATATGCCAGTATTACAACTTACAACTGATTGAATGAGATGTTAACTTAGTAAAATAATTTGATTTTTACCTGACAGTGTTTGTCAAAGTTAAAATCATGAATATTCAATTTTATACAAACATTTAATATGTGTATAGATTTGTATTTGTTATTTGCCAAAGACAGAAATAAATTACCTGGTTTAATATTAGTGAAGAATAAATAAGTGCACACATTTCAACTGTTTCATTTATTTGCCCTAAGTTGAGCCAAAAAATGATATGAGGCAAAGAATCAAAGCAGGTGTGACAATACAGCAGATGTTTAGGGCTGTCTACATCCCAGGTACTGTGCTAAGCACTAAACATGTATTTGATCCTCACAGCAACCCATTTTTCTGATAAGAAATCTGAGGCTTGATTGATAAGCTAAGTTCACACAGTTTTTAAATGCTAGAGTCTGTGCCTTAATTCACATAATCTCTATTCAGAGCCTGTACTCTTAACCACTCAGGGATTCTGGAACAGAAGCTAACAGTTTTCTGCAATGAGTCCTTGACTTAAATATCTGAAATAACATTGGAAATAGATTATAAGAGGAATCAGTGTGTTTTTCTATACTTTCAAAATACTTTTAACATCTTATTGTCAAAAAAGGATTGGATAACTGATTTTCTTTGCTCATAATAACTCTAAATTCTAGTTCCTGAGTATATTAACACATCTGTATACCTAACTACCAATGTCCCCCATCATCGACTAATCAGCTTGTTTGAGACAATGAGAAAGACTGATTTTATTTTCAGGAATATAGACTCGGTTCAAAACATTTTCAGGAAAAATATTTTAAAACCCTACAGTTGAACAGGTGTGTTTCTGTGTTGATGATGTGCTCAGGATACAAAGGTGAGATAAACATTTTTTCTGCCTTCAGAAAGCACTCAGTCTAGAAGAGTAGAGGTCCAAAGGTGCCATAGGTTCACACTGTGAGCCTGCAAGATCTCCACGTTAACAAAGGAAAACTCTTCCTATGAATCTTCATGATGATAGGCCATGTCTCTTTTTATTTTTTTTTTAAATAAACATCCACATTATCATGATTTCTTTTGGTTTATTGTGGGGTTTTGTCCTTGTCTTTTTAAAAAACTTTTCAGTTTTTAGCAAGAATTATTCCATCAACACCTAGTGTTTATCTAGAGTGATGTATGCACTCTGTGCTAATCAGGAACCCAGAGTTAGGAGAATTTTTATTTCTGGAGCAACAACTAAATGGTAGTTCATTGTGCCCCAATTTGATTCCTGCCCCTTTCTGTAAACACTGATAGAATCTTCCTGTCAGATTTTAAATTACACAAATTTAAGAAAGAGGTTCGTGTGCAGACTCAATCTCAATTTCCACTTTCTGCAGCATCCATTTTTTAAGACACTACTGGATTGACTCATACTGTCCCTATATTGTTCTTAGAATGCATGTCTTAGAAAAATATGAGACAGTACATTATTCTTTATCTAGATGTAGCAATGAGAAACACACTACTTAGAGACTTTTTCTGTGGCGACCTTCAATTATACTGCTGTATTTGAGGGAACTATACATGCCAACATACAATATATCATTCCTCATTTCTTTTTACCCCTGCTCATGCTTTAAGTCAGGAATTGTTTCTAAATGATTATAGAAAGATGGATGTTGATAGACTAGAAGAAGCTGACTATAGTATACTCTGTCTACTTAAAAAAGCCATCTTCACCCGTTAGGGTACTGGCTGCCCAGATTTCAAATTGGTGTAGATCCTGTGCCTTAGCTACTTGGAGGTAACAGAAAAGGGCGAAAATATTTTCCCTGCCCACTTACCAGCTGACTATGCAGTCCTGTTTTAGATAATAAAGCATGAATTTTTCACTACGTGTGACTCTGAATCCAGACAGTTTTCTTCTATACTTTCTAGAAGCTTTCCTTGGGATCTGGAAAGGCTAAACTCATTTGATTATTTTCAGTGTTGTTTTAAATTTGACGTTATATTTCATCAAGTTTTGTTTTTATCTAGACTTTTTTTATTAATAAAATTAAGAATTTAAAACAAATGTAGGGTCTGTAAACTTGAACTAATTCCTGCTCCAATTAGTACCCAGGAAGAAACCACTTTTAACAATATGGTATATAATTTTTAAGATTGTTCTTTCTAAGAACGTGAGCATGCATATGTGTGTGTGTATGTATACACACACATATATGTTAGCATCATGTTAAATAGTACTGCAACTTTCTTTTGTCATATAGAGAACTGTATTTTTGCATGTTGATACACATACAGGGAGAAACTTATTGCTTATAATTATTCAGCATAAGTCACTTTCAATGTGTAATTCTCTGATAATTTTACTTTCTATTTCTGTTGTGTTTTTTTGTGTAAGTATTCTATTTTTTATTGTGCCAGTTTGGGATTGTATATGTTTACAAAAATGTATTCTTGTTATCTGCTTTATTACCACATAGTTATTCATGATAATGTGTTTTATTATTTTACTTTGTATTTTGTCTGGTGTTATTTCCCCTTTAAATGCATCTGGAAGCTCAAAGACCTAGTTTCACTATGTCCTTTGGAGGTTTTTAGGTGATAAGAATTTTAGAGACCTATACAGACTTCGAATACAGGATTAGGACTCTGCCATGACATAGTTGCTTTAAATTATTATTTCATGCTTTGAAGAATTTATTGTGAAACGAATGTTAATGTAAGAAAAAACACCTCCTGTAATGCTTTTCATTAGGAAATGCAGACTCTGTGAAAGCTATAATGAGTTGCATTAAAGTTCTAGAACATTATTTTATGAGAAATATAAATACATCTTCCTTTCTTGGCCCCTCAGAATCTCTGGATAGTGTCAACCCTACCCATTCCAGGAAAAAGGGACCTAGTCAGCTAGTAAAAATCTGGGCATAATGACCTGTCTTCTCTGGTACTTGGAAAGAGTATCTAAATGCACTAAGCGGGCGCAGGCACTCACAAGTGCTCTCAGGTATGTGAGATGCTATCTTCTTTTGGCGGTTGGGAAATTAATTAGTAGTGCTATGTTTTTGTTTTTGTTTTGTTTTTTCACTATTGTGATTTAAGCTGTTAGGAAATTTGAGATCAGCTAGGGATTCTAAGTGATGATCATCTTACATGGAGATAAATAAATGTCCCTTCCATCAGGACTGCATTTGATGGGTTGAAAACTATTGGGCATCAATTACAAGGACAAAGATAATGTATCAGTGTATATGGGAGCTCTCCCTCACATGGCCAATTGGTGAAACATGGATAGTGCAGAGATTCCTCTGCTATTTTTTGACTATAGCAACATCTTAATGAATTTCTGGTATTTTTCCTTGAAATCTAGGCCACAAAGTCACAGTCACATTGTGTGTGTGTGTGTGTGTGTGTGTGTGTGTGTGTGTGAGAGAGAGAGAGAGATACTTGCTTTTATTCTCTTCTTTGTGTTTGCTTTGCAGGGTACTATGTTGGAATTCACCTAAAAATCTAGTCCACAACTACCAAAGAAAGCATTTCCAACTTGTGTGAAAGTTTCTTTTATTTCATCTATTTGTTCACAGTATTTTAAAGATTTGGAGCATGTCATGTTAAAAACTTTAACCTTCCTATCATCTATTAATCAAATATTGGTGTAGTTCCTAAACGTGTACCTTTTTATATACAACCTTGCTTTTTTTTCCTATAACTTCAAAATGTTTTTTTCCTTTTTTGAAATTGGAACTCCCTTTT